GCCCTTAAATTGCTACTTTTCCAGTAAGGAAGAACTTCCAAAAGGCCTTTGCCACAGCCCTCATTGCTCTTCTATGTATCTCTAGCTGAAGATCATTTTATCATTATTATATACTCACTATTCAATTTTCACTTGGAGAAACTAAGAAGAGTTAGTGGTGTCACACGACGGTATAGGAGGGTCCAACCACAGGCAGCACACACAGGCACTACAGACAGCTGATCCAAGTGTGAGCCTGGGCAGCCCCTGAGGGAGTCACAGTCTGGTCAGTGAACCCTGTCCTATCACCATACAAGTGTCATGGTGCTGTGTCGGCAAGGATTTTGCTTTTAACTTCTTAAGCATAATTTTAATTGCATTTTTAAAATAAATTAACATTAAATGAAAAAGGAACTATAACTCTAAGTAGTTCTTAAAGACACAGAGATGGCTATGTAAAATGAAATATGTAAAATTCAAAAGTGTAAACAGTACTTCCTAATATTCCATACAAATAAAATAATGTATAGAATGATGAATTTCTGGTTACTAGCATGACTCAATTTTTCCCTTCATTGCAACTGATGATTGTCCTACATACACTAATGTGCTTTTATCTCTGCACCTAATAACAACTTAGTTTTCAAGACAAACTTCCTAACACCACACAGCAAAACAGTGTAGTCTTCACTTACCTACAGGAGACATTTCAGGAACTCCTGCTGTGTAAGGCCCATCCAAAAACTTGGGTTCATTGTCATTGATATCCTGGATTTTGATGACAAACTCTGATTCAGGCTCCACGGGTTTGTTGGTGAGCCTGTCCAGCGCTTGAGCTCGGAGAGTGTAGTAGGCCTGCTCCTCGCGATCAAGTCTCTTGGTAGCATGAATATCCCCAGTGTTCTCATCAATAATGAAAATGGAACTTGCCCCTTCGCCTGACAAGATGTATTTGATGGAACCATCTCCTTTATCAACATCAGAGTGAAGCTGGTGAAAAATTCATGTGAGATGAGATTAACTTACAAGAGAGTCAGCGATATGGAGATATGTAAAAATAATTCTTATGTCAGGCAGCTGTACATGAAATTTTATTGTTCTTGGAAAGATAAGCTGAACGCTTATTGTGCACAGCAGAAAGGCTATTAGAATGTGTCATCTTGCACTTGAGAGCAAGACAATTTCATTTCTTCCTGTAAACAGTCTCATTTCCAAAGGTATTTTATAGCATTCCCACAGAACTTGTTGTAGTGTTATTTTTTATTTGATCTGTCCTTGCCAGTTTTAGCCATCTTCTTTGAACACAGCAGACATTCAGTAAACATGTATAACGAGTTGATCCCTATTCCAAGCAAAGGGATTTTTCTAGAGAACATTGGTCAATTCAATTCTAAGGCATCATTTAATATGCTTTTTAGAAAACCCCACATTCTTTGTGGGTCCCTGTCTCCCTTCCCAACCCCACACCCACACACACCCCTTTCCATGATTAACCAATGTCCAGTTACTAAATCTGTCTCCAAATCCTGTTCTGTATTTTAGAATTTGAAGCTAAAAAAAAAAATTACACTGCTCTCTAAAGTAGGAATTTTAAATCAATACGTGCATGGGACTTCAACTAAAACCTTTCTTGAAATACCAAGAACTGCATTAGATTTGCATGATTAACCCCAGCCTTGGCAGCAGGGGCAGCACCTACTGATTTGCATTTTCTATCTGAAACTGTCCCTGCTGTATGTCGGAACATTATGTTGAACAGAGGAACCTTAGGAAACTCAGAAATAATTACACATTTTCCTGAACTCCATAACCTGAGAAACACACTACTCAATCTGTCATTTCAACAATCTTTCATCTCCTATAACTGCCATCATCCAGGACTTTTGTTAATATGAATGTAAAAACCCGATATACCAAATAACAAGGCTTTTCAGTGCCCTACAGACTCCATTTGCATTTTTCAAAAGATGAGCTTCTAAAAATATAAAATATGGAAAACCACTTAGGCAAGTGTGGGCACATTTTCTTCCCTGGTATCCATGGAAGACACAGATTTTGGCACCATGGATCTCTGTGACTTTCCCACTCCACTGTAACTGTTGTATTTATACTCTGCTTCAGGATACTTAAATACCCAATTTATCCCTTGGTTTCTGTGATTTTGAGTCAGAACTAAATAATAAAATAATAAGTTTCTGTCAAGAGTTATAAACTTCTCAGGGTGGAGTCATCTGGTGGATTGTCTTGCGAAGTATCTGCTTGACATAGAGGGTAGTCATATTCTTGAAGTGCTGTGAATTAATTTCCTTAAGTCTCTCTCAGGATTACTATTATATATGTGTCTTTCTCCAATTTAAGAAGAAAGAAACATGAGAATTGTTATAGATTGGGTCATGAGAACTTAACTAGGTGTCAGGCTCTGTTCTTACTATTCTTCGTATAGTATAACATGATCCTTGGAAAAGAGAGGGACATCAAATTCTGTTATGGTTTGGATGTGACATAGATGTCCCCCCAAAGCTCATGCATGAGACAATGTAAGAAGGTTTAGAGGAAAAATGACTGGGCTATGAGAGCCTTAACTCAATCAGTGAATTAATCCCCTGTGGGATTAACTGGGTAGGATGTGGCTGGAGGAGGTAGATCCTTAAGGATGTGCCCTTTGGGGTATATATTTTGTATCTGGCAAGTGGAGTCTCTCTGTGCTTTCTGATCATCATGTGAGCTCCTTCCCTTCTCTACACTCTTCTGCCATGATGTTCTGCCTCATCTTGAGCCCCAAGAAATGCAGCTAGCTGTCTATGGACTGAAATCTCTGAGACGATAAGCCCTCAAGCTTTTCCTCCTCTACAATTATTCTGGCTAGGTCTTTTAGTCATAGCAGTGAAAAAGCTCACTAGAACAAATACCATGTCCCTGACATGCCCTATTCCATTCCCAAAACTCTAATCAAGTCAAGAGGACAGTGAATGTGGACCCAGGATGGAATGTCCTGTTAGTATTATCTAAGGGATACTCAGGAATGTGTACCGGGAATCTGGAAGCAGATATCATCTGTGAGAAGTGTTCTTTTCTGAAGTTATCCTAAAGGCAATTGCTCCCTGAAATGCTGGTCAAATAAACAAAAACTAACTAATTGTCATCAATTCATACATACATTAGACTGTAAAGGTCCTCCCTCCGTAGTAGTGACAGGAGTCAGAGCACTACCCATGTAGCTGGTGGTTACAGGCGGCCGTAGCTGGTAGCCTGTTAGTAGGTGTCAATAAACCCTGTGTTCCCCGTGCCAGCTCGGGGTACTGTCTTCGATCTCTCAGCAACACATCCCACAGGCAGCCCAAGAGCTGCTGTGGACAGCACAGCATTTCATTTAATATTCAAAACTACCCACACGATGCTACTTATAGATTTGGAAAAGCTAAGGATGTTGCCTGGGCTCATCTAGCCAGCTTTCTCCCAGCACGGGGATTATGAAAACGGGCAGGCTCGTACAAGGTCCAAGTCGCCCCTCGCCACAATGAGCTTCTGTCTGAGAGGTAGACTGTTGCCCTGGGTGGCAAGGACGTCAAGACTCTCTGCAAAGAGGAACTTAAGGACAGGGATCCTGCAGCCAGCTCTCACCTGATCACTCTCACACTGGTTTCCATCAACACACTTTTTGACTTACCAGAGGAGTCCTTTCTTGCACTACGTAAACAACAGTAAATGCAACAACCCACAGCAGCATAAGTGAGTCCTCAGACAAGTGTGAAGACAGACAAATTATTTTTAAGTTGATATGAACGTGTTCCACAACTCAGTCTCAACACCATTCTCCTAACACTGCCCCCATCTCGGCTCCTGCATCGCTGGTGACTCTCCAGTGGCTACTGATAATGGCAGTGTGAAACCTCAGGGGACTTCCAGATGACTGTAGGAATATTAGTAATACATCTTCAATCAAAGTTTCTCTACATCTCTCTCTCACCTTCAGGAATCCCACTCATAGAACCAGTCTTTAAGATTCATTAAATAATTCCTGTCAAACGACTGCTGTCTTCAAAGCAGGGTGATATAATGCCCCTGTGGTTTTCCAGGTATGGGACACCCCCCCCCCAGAAATTACTTTCAATATAAAGCACACCTTAATCCTGTATATGAGCTTTACCCCAGACTCTCAGGTGGCATTTTTGGATGATGGTGGTATTGGTTGATCTCCATTACTGACACAGAAGAGTTTAAAAGTAGAAGCTTCAGACTGCTTATTTCACCTATCATTCAAGGATCACATAACTTTTCTATTACTTACCCTGCTCTAACACACACACACACACACACACACACACACACACACACACACACACGACAAATCCTTTTCCAGGTGCCCTCAACTTTACCTTTTCCCCCATCACTGACAATTTTTTCCCAGCTGGTTCAATCACCAGGCTAGTAATCACTGCCAAAATTCACAAGCAGAAAATTTCTTGGAGTCTAAACTGTGTCCTTGCAAGGTGAATGCAAGCATCTGTGGTTACAAGTGATGACCAACTTTGGAATGTTCAAATGGACGCACAGTTACCGGATATACTCAGACAGTTCATCTGTGGGACTACGACCATCCGACTACTCTTAATAGGTGGAATCAAATCCATGCTGCTAGTGAAAAGCTGCTCTCTCCCCTTGATGAAGAAGAATGCTTACCAAAGAAGAAAGGTGTAGTAACTTAGAAATATCAATGAGATTTTCAAGCCAACTCAGATGTCCCCATAGAGGCACATACATACATACACACACACACACACACACACACACACACACACAAACACCACACACCTTACACATCTTTGTCAATATCAGCTCTTACAAACAAAACTGAAACGTGTAACTCCACGTGGTAAAAACTTATGAACAGGAAAACAAAAATCTATAGTCCCATAATCCGTAAATGAATGAATAAACCAATGAAAAGCACAACCCCCCAAAAATATTTGAACTCTATTTGGTGCAGAGTGAGATCCACAATATTATACCTTTTTCCACATGCAGATAGTTTTTGTAAATGTTATCCTGAACTTAGTCTACAAAATAACCAAAAACCAAAAAACAAACAAACAAAATACAAAAAACTCCACTACTCTACTCATTAATCATCAGACAAAACTCAGCTTTTCTAAATTCTCTGAAAAATATTTGTCGTGACTCCAAAATAAATATTTTTATAATCTAGTAACTTTTTTTCCCAAATGAATCAACAATTGAGGATCACAGAACCACTTAGTTGATAAGGCAGAAGACAAGCAGAGGTGGAGACACAATTGGTGTGTGACTCCGACATGTCACTGTAAGCACTGTGAACAGTGAAATGCAGGAATACCAAACTGGGTGGGACTCTCCCAATCTATACAGGAAGGAATGCAGAGGAACCTTTATATGTGGCTTCAAATGTTTTTCCTAATAACCCACAAAGGTTATATCTCCTCCTGCTTGACAGAGAACTCCTCCCAATTTTCTCCACTATATCTGGTCCTTTATTCATTCTCTCTGAGCTAAGGTCCTAGTTCAATATTTTGAAAACTGACACTTGGCCTATTGGAAAAGCTATCAATTATCCTCTACTCTTAATGACTCGCATTGTCTAGGCTGTCATAATGCTTGTAAGAAAATATTTTCTTTAAATATAACAATATTCTATAATGTCCCTCACTGAATATGCTTTTTAAAAATATCAATAGTATCTTCACCGATGAGTAACAAAACATGATACTGAGGATGACAGCAACTCCCAGTTGCTCCTGAGGTTGGCTCAAGAGGACTTTAGGGGTGGACACAGAACATGGGCCTGACGGGGGGGCTGCCCAGTGGTCCTGCCCCTTGGGTCTGCCCATTTCAGGGAGCATCTGTTGCAGTGTTTAAGATCATTTTAGAACTTGTGGGAAGCAAATCTTTGCTGAGAAACTAGTTGTTTGGGGGTTATTACAAAGTAACTGGACCATTTGATCTCTTGATCTTCA